GTGTCCGCTTCCACTATCTGCGCGCCGCGGCCAGGACGCCGCCGCTGGGGCCGCCCCTTCCTCCCTCTTCCTGCGCGCGCTTTTGTCTTCTTCTGTATCAATATGATCTCAGGCAATCTTAAACACTTTCAAAATATGGTAATCAATTCGGTTTTTCGTTTTACTTCTGGCGGTTCGGATGCTCAAACGGTCTGTCTGGTCTTTTGCCAGGACCCCAGCTGGGCGCCTTGCCTTTGGCTCCCTCCCGCACGCGCCCCCCACGGACCCGCACTGTCATTGGCCCAAAGAGCCGTGGTCTCCCAGTGTCCCCGCCAGACCCAGCTGCTTCCGCTGCCCTCCTGCCCCCACCCAGTAGCCTGTGACCCCAGACCCCGCGCAGTGACCCCGAGGGAGGTTCATATTTTTTTGCCAGCCAGTCGCCCCGGGAGGTATTCCAGGTGGGTTCCATGGGCAAATGCTTCACTAACTGCTGGATGTCACCTGATGCTCCTCCAGTTTGCGCTTCAGTGGCCAGGGCCATGCGTGAAGAGCCTCCTGCGTCCTCGCCAGCAGCCTGGTCCCAGCTTTCAGTTTGCAGGTGACAGGTGCAATGTAACCTGCACTTATTATGAGCAAAATTGAACATGCTTTCATTGTTTAAGCAATGTACACATAATGCAATGTGCGCATGTGTGTGCATGTGGTGTGTATGCTCATGCGTGTGTATGCTCCACGTGCCGTGTGCACATATGTGTTACGTGCATGGGTACATAAGTTGTGTGCATGTATGTACTGTCTGGTCACACTTCCTGCTCACCTTCCCGTTGCACCTGTGAGCTGCTCTCCCTGTATTTCTAGGTCTCTGTGACATTGCATGGGCAATGGGGGTGAGGTTGCTGGGCAGGGCCCAGGGGCAGCCTTTCCCCCATTTCAGGGCCCAGCACAGTTGGCCTGTGATAGTTCTGCCATGCTAACATGCTCTGTCTTCTCTTTCCTGGCGCCTTGATTCTGAGCCAGTGTGAGGAATAGTTCATCACGTGTTCTCTTGTCTTGTAGGGTTTCTCTCTCACACTTACGTCCCTGCTGCCGGGTGATTTCTGCAAGTGAGTGGCATAGGTGAGTCTACCTGCATGCGTTTCCAGCTTGCAGTGTGGTCCCTACACTACGCATCAAAAAGTCTACCTTCTGCCCTGGTCCCATTCACTCCTGTCTCTTCATGAGCTAATCCCACTGCTTTAACTGGGTGAGTTTAGACCTGACAAAGCTAGTTTTTCACTTTCTCTTCATGGCTTTCTTGGCTGTTACTCGTTCATTTTTCCACATGAACTTTACAGGTCAGACATGTGGGTTTCTGTTGGGATCCTGTTAAATTTATAAATGAACCCAGGAAGAGCTGACGCCTCAGTGATGTCTTGTCATCCTAACCAGGGTGTGTATTCCCGACAATCAGGCCACACCCAGCTCTCCTGCAGGTTTGCACGTTTCTCGATAAATTTATGCCGCAGGCATTTTACCTTCTCTGTTCTCGGAACACTATCACATTTTCTGCTAACTGGTCAGTGTTTGAATATGTGACAGCCCTCTATTTCGGGATGTTAATTTTACATCTGCTCCTTGCCTGGATTTTCATGTTGTTGTAGTATTTTCCCATGGAACCTACTGTGTTTTTCAGGCTCATGCTCACTGCAGGCTTCCCAGGCTGTGTTCCTCGAACGTGTGACCTTGTCTGGCATCCTTGCCTCTTCCTGGATAGGTGGCTCCACCTCCCGTCCCACCCAGGACAGGACCCCAGGGTGCCAGGCACAGGCAGTGAGCTCAGAGGGTTGGGGAGTGGCGGGCCTGGATGGGGCTCATGGGAGGGGACAGGTTGGGGGCATCTGTCATTGCAGTCAGGGAACTGGCACGGGGTGTCCCGTGCCTTCTGGAGGACGGACCAGGCATTCTCTTTGTAGACTGCACCCTGAGCCTGCTTGCTGGTAGCCTGGTGCAGCCCACCCACTGCCTGGCCTGGCCCCAGCCTGGGGCACAGACCCTGCCTAGGGAGGACCCCAAGGTGTAGGGGACTCATGAGGGCTGCAGCAGGGCAGATATAGGCACAATCGCTCAGGGATGTCCTGTGCCAGATTGAGGTGGTCTGGGGGTAGGGTGCCGTGGGACCCTGGGGCATGAAGCCCAGAAAGGGCTCCTGGGGGTGGGGTCCAGCAGCCCCCTAAAGTCAGAGGCTGTGTGAGTGTGGGAGGAGCCAAAGGAGTAGAGATGAGGGCCTCAGGGGGTTGTGTGTTTCTTGAATAGTGACATCGAGGCCAGAGCCCTCCATCTGCCTGGCACCAGCAGGGTCTTCCCCTCCCCCCATGACCTTGTGAGTAGGACAGAACTGGGGCCTTTCTTTGAGCTTCTGTCATCATTTAATTACTAGAGGCCCGGTGCAAGAAATTCGTGCGGGGGTAGGGGGGAACCCTCAGCCCGGCCTGCACCATCTCGCAATCCGGGACCACTGGCTCCTAACCGCTCACCTGCCTGCCTGCCTGATTGCTCCTAACCATTCTGCCTGCTGGCCTGATCACCCCTAACCACCTCTGTCTTGGGCCCCGCTTTTTCCGGAAGGATGTCTGGAGGATGTCCAGAAGATGTCTGGTCTAATTAACATATTACCCTTTTATTAGTATAGATAATATAATAGAAAGGGAAAGGGCTGCTCAGTGTGAATGGAACCCACGAAGGACATCTGCTTCTGAGCTCCCACACTGGGTGCCCACGGGCCATCCTGCAGGACAGCTGACGCGTGTGTGTGCTGGGTAAGGAGTGGTAGTCTGGCTGGAGGGTGCCCACCCAGCACCCCAGGCAGGAGCCTCTGAGGCACCTTTAAATAGCACCGTAAATGGGCGTCATGGAGGAGGCCACTCGGGGTGCTGCCCACCTGGGCGGCCAGGTCTCTTCTCCAGGCCTGGGGAGAACCAGGCTCTTGCACATCCCTCTGTGTCCTTTGAGGTGTGTGCTGGATTTCCTCGCTCTGGAGGCACCTTACTGGCCGCCCAAGACAGTCTCCAACCAGGACCCACCGTACCTCTTGTCCAGGCACCAGTCTCCCCTGAGAGGCAGCGGGAAGGGGGGCGCAGTGACTCCCGAAGCCCCTCTGACACCCAGGGTAGGTGTGCAGGAGGCACAGAGCCGCAGTTCAGGACAGCAGGTCTGTGTCTGGAGCCCTGGGCCAGTCTCCTCTCCTCGCCCAGAAGGGACAGTGGTCTCTCCTGCGTCAAGGTCCCTCAAGGTTTCAGAGGAGAGCCAGGCAGGGCTGACACTGTGCAGGGGTGTGACCCCACCAGGCTCAGCCCTGGGCGGCCACCCAGTTATTGCAGGGTCTGAAGGCCATGGGCCAGTGAGGAGCCGTCAGAGCGGCCAAGAGCAGTGTCCGTCTTCAAGTCTCAGGGGCTGGGGCCCCTGCGGGCTGTCGGCAGAGGCCCTGCGGAGACAGGTCTGTGTCTGGAGCCCTGGGCCAGTCTCCTCTCCTCGCCCAGAAGGGACAGTGGTCTCTCCTGCGTCAAGGTCCCTCAAGGTTTCAGAGGAGAGCCAGGCAGGGCTGACACTGTGCAGGGGTGTGACCCCACCAGGCTCAGCCCTGGGCGGCCACCCAGTTATTGCAGGGTCTGAAGGCCATGGGCCAGTGAGGAGCCGTCAGAGCGGCCAAGAGCAGTGTCCGTCTTCAAGTCTCAGGGGCTGGGGCCCCTGCGGGCTGTCGGCAGAGGCCCTGCGGAGAGAGCCGGGCCTGCCGGGGAAGACGATGGTGGCGTACTCGGTCTGTTCCGGCACACAGGGGGCGGGGGGCTCCGGGGTCTTCTCCCGCCTCTGGAAGTCCAGCTCCCCGTAGTCCACAGATGCCACGGAGGGGCCCTCCTTCTTAGGGGAGAGGGAGAAAGGAATCAGCGCTCTCTCAGTGGCTGGTGAACACACACGTACACACAAGTGTGAACACAGACCCACACATGCGTAGACACACATACACAGCGGGGCAGGGCCTGAGCCCTACAGCCCGTCCTTGGGCTCGGGTGCCCATGTTCGAACAAGGTGACATGGTTAGGGATGGGTGTGGCTGCTCCTGAGGCCACTCACCCCTGGGGTTGCCTGTCTCCCGCACCCCTTCCCTGAAATGTACCAGAGTCACCAGAAGGGGAAGGGAACTCACCGGAGGCTGGTCCTCGCTCCGGCAGGCACAGCCCCCTGCAGAGAAACACAGGGAGTCAGGTCCAGGAGGCCCAGGCAGGCCGGGTCTCAGCAGGCGGCGGGGTGGGAAGACCTCGGGCCATGGGAAGGGCCCAAGCCTCCAGGCTTGGGTGGCCAAGCTGCCTCCCTGCCTGCTCCCACCCCCCATGCAACCACCCGAGTGCCTGCTCATCTCCGAGGGTCCATCTGGAAGTGAGTTGCTGGGTGTGAGGCCACATAGGACCGCCTGTCTTCCAGGCTTAGTGCTCCTGCTGGTCGCAAACCAGGCCGAGCCTGGTGTCCACTGCAGGGCACCAAACCCACTTGGGTCCCGGGCTGGCGCCATAAAGCACACAGCAGACACATAGTCAGCGGTGCTATGGCAGCAGCTCCCTGATCGACGTGCACAGGAGCACCACGTGCGTCCCCACCAGGGACCAGCGCCCAGAGGCGCATACAGCACACCTCGAAATGATCTGAAGGGGCCTGGCGGGCACGGCTCAGTGGGTGAGCGTTGACCCATGAACCCAGAGGTCCCTGGTTCCACCCCCATCAGAACATATGCTTGGGTTGTGTGCTCAATCCCCAGCAGGGGGCGTGCAGGAGGCAGCTCTGTTTCTCTATCATGGATGTTGCTATCTTCTCTCCCTCTCCCTTCCTCTCTCTCTAAAAAAATCAATAAAAACATATTTAAAAAAATATCTGGAGGAGGAAAAATGTGATCCCTGGAGAAATGAACCCCGCAGGGCCTGGAATGGCAGGGCAGCATGGCCGCTGTCCCTAACCACCCAGGGGAGGGCATGGAGGCCATGGCTGCCCTTGTCACCCAGGGCAGGCGTGCAGGAGGCACAGAGCCGCAGTTCAGGACAGCAGGTCTGCGTCTGGAGCCCTGGGCCAGTCTCCTTTCCTCGCCCAGAAGGGACAGTGGTCTCTCCTGCGTCCAGGTCCCTCAGGGTTTCAGAGGAGAGCCAGGCAGGGCTGACACGGTGCAGGGGTGTGACCTCCACCAGGCTCAGCCCTGGGCGGCCACCCAGTTATCGCAGGGTCTGAAGGCCATGGGTCGGTGAGGAGCCATCAGAGGGGTCAAGAGCAGTGTCCGTCTCGAGTGGGAACCCCTGCTGTTGCCACACATGGTGCCTGTCCTGGGAGAGCGTGACCGGAGCCTCTGGTGGGCAGGGCCTCGGCGGGGCTGACCTCCCCTGGGCTGGGCCCCCTCTAGGAAGTGGCGCCTTTTTCCAGCCCCTTTTTCCTCACTCTGGAGGCACCTTACTGGTTGCCCAAGACAGTGTCCAACCAGGACCCCCCATGCCTCCTGTCCAGGCACCAGACCCCCCTAAGAGGTGAGGGGGAGGGCACAGTGACTCCCGAAGCCCCTCTGACACCCAGGGCGGGCGTGCAGGAGGCACAGAGCCACAGTTCAGGACAGCAGTGACTGAGTGAGGTCAGCTGCCCGTGACCACCACCATCCTGGGGGGCGGGCGGCTGTGGCTGTCACCACAGGCCCCCAGCGGCTGTTAGAAGCACCGTCACAGTGGCTTGTGGTCTGAGATGTGGCCTGAGGCTTGAGGGCGGCCTTGGGCAGTTACACAGGGGCCTCAGCCTGGGGGCCTCTCCCAGCCTCCTGTGTGATCTGGGCAGCTGCCTTCCTCTCAAACCCCCCCTGAGAGCATGGCCGGGGTCTCCGAGGAGAGGCCTTGGCAGTGCCTCGGGCTCCACCTGGCGGGACGGCAGCGGGGCTGGCTGGGGCATTACCTCGAGTGGCCAGGACCCAGGTCAGCAGCAGAAGCAGCAGGACGCCCACCAGGACGCTTGTGACACCGATGACCAGGCCCTGTAGCTGACCTGCGGGCCTAGGTGTGGGGCTGGGGCCCTCAGTGGGCTGTTCCGGGACTCTCTCTGGAGACACAGAGGACAGATACTCAGGCGTGGGGACACAGGAGAGGGACTTCGGGTCTTACCCTGCCCGCTTCAAGTCTGAGGGGACTCAGTCCTAGGCTCGCACTGACCAGTCTCACCCAGGCCTGCACAACCTCAGTCTGAGGCGCACCGACCACCTGCCCCTCCCTCAGGACAAATGGGGTCTGAGGTGCTTCCAAGCACAGAGGCCCGAAGCCATGGGTCACTGTGGCCCTGGGTGTGGGACAGAGTCCTGGAGTGAAGTTAGGAGAATCCGTGCTCACTGTGCCTAACAGGCCCTGCCCAGCCCTGTCCGCATCCTCACTCCCACCCTGGGGTCCCGCCCTGCACCTGTCACCGTGAGCTTTGCCCGGAGGCTCTCATAGATCTGCGTCTCGGGGAGCAGGTAGATGGCCCCACAGAAGTAGATGCCGCTGTCATTGTGCTGGGCAGTGAGGACACTCATTTCGAAGTCCCGTCCGTTGGGCAGCCGGGTCATGCGGAAGCGCTGGTCCCTGCGGACTTCCTGCCCGCTGTCCTCAGGGAAGGCGGCCAGCTTGTCCGTCTGGTTGCTGGGGCTCATGCGGTACCAGTTGAGCACAAAGTCCTCAGACGTGTTGGAGAAGCTGCAGGTGAAGGTGGCGGTCTCCCCCTCGGCCACCGTGAGCTGAGGCGGGTGGAAGGTGAGTGGACGCCAAGGCCTTCTGGGAGTCTCTGTGGGGTGGAGAGAGAACCAGCGGGCCCTGAGGAAGGCCTGTGGGACAGCCCACCGAGACCCCTCCCGCTTTCCCACATCCCGTCAGACAGGAAGGTCCTGGGAAGCCCAGCCACCCTGGAGTCCCCTCTGCCATGAGCCTTGCAGCTTCTTTTTTAAAATATATTTTATTGATTTTTTACAGAGAGGAAGGGAGAGGGATAGACAGTTAGAAACATCAATGAGAGAGAAACATTGATGAGCTGCCTCCTGCACACCCCCTACTGGGGATGTGCCCGCAGCCAAGGTACATGCCCTTGACCAGAATCGAACCTGGGACCCTTGAGTCTGCAAGCCAACACTCTATCCACTGAGCCAAACCGGTTAGGGCAGCCTTGCAGCTTCTTGCATGCCTCCTGGGGACAGGTGCTCACCTCTCACCAGGGAACCTCACGGTGGGATTTTGTCCACTGATGGCATCCAGAGATCTGGACTGGGCTGCCTCTGGCTCTGACCCCAGGCCCCCACCCATTTCTTTCCCAAGCAGTGGCTTAGGGCCTTCACCCCTCCCTCTTTGACTCAGGTCCCCAGCTCTGCCTCCCAGGTCTCTGAGCCGTCTGCACTGTGCTGGGGGTGGGGAGCTGGGCTGGGCTGCCGGGGCTGCCGTGGGAAGCCCAGCTCCAGCGGGCCCAGGGGCCAGCCTTTCCCCCATTTCAGGACAAGCTTAGAGCCAGGACCCCACATGGGCACTGCTGACCTGGGCAGTGTGGGCCCCCAGGTCCTCTTCCAAGGCTCTGGGGACTGCAGTTCAGCTGGGCCATCGTCTCTGAGATGGACGGAAATAGAGTCCCCCACACCCTGGGCTCTAGCCCCCGCTCCCCCCCGCCGCCCTCCCCAACAAGGATGTGCCGGCGGCCTGGGGCCTCCCACACAGGAGAGGGTGCGAGACTCTCCGACGCGAGAATGAGCACACATGCTAGGTTATGCTCATCCTCCCTCACATGCATTCACCCTCATGGCCACATGTCTGCTTTCCCTGGCTGTGCATCTGCTCTACTCGGCTCCATCCTGAACTTGCTGGGTGTGGCTCCCCACACTCCATGACCTTGCCCCGGGCTGGCTGCTTCAGGCCCACCCTGTCCCGTGCGAGGCCTGCCCAGTGAGCCTGCCCAGTGGCTCGGAGGAGGATGGGATGGTGCTGGGACCCAGCTCCCCTTCAACCTGGGCCACTTCAGGGCACGTGTGACCAGGACACCGTCTGCCCATCCCCACTGGGCACCTCACAAGGGTCAAAAATCACAGATATTCAGAGACCAGGTGGGTCCTGAGATGTCCCAGTGTCCCCCATTTCTGTGGCCCTACTCGGGGACACAGAGGCCCTTCTCCCCCTCCCACTGGTTTACACTGAGGACACGGGCGTGGAGAGGCCAGGGCCCCGCCAGCCTGTACCTCCCGCCATGGCCCTTCCCGGGCACCTCTCCTGGCCATCAGTGCATGGTCAAGGGGGGCACATGGCCAGTCCTGGGGCTGCAGGTACTGTCCCTATGATCCTGTCAAGTGCCAGCTGGACATGAGCCGGGGGAGCATGTGGCCTTGAGTGTGAATGCATGTGAGGGAGGGAGAGCATAACCTAGCATATGTGCTCATTATCATGTCGGAGAGCCTTGAGCCCCCTCCTGTGTGGGCATCCCAGACCGCCTGCACATCCTTGTTCAGGGGGCTGGGGTCCTCTGGGCCTTGTGGAGGGGCAGCTCGGGGGAGGGCAGGGGATGTCAGGGAGGCCAGGGGGCCTGGAGAAGGTCAGTTCTGGACTGGGGATGGCTGTGGCAGGTGGGGTCCTCTAGGGGGCGACACAAACACTGATGGGGACCCAGCCCTTCCCTCATTCTCGATTGTGTCCTACGGTACTGCATGCCAGCCCTGTTCCCATTGGCAGCACTAACGCCCATCTTCTTCACACATTTATTTGGGAAGCAAGTCTCTCTGTCTCTCTCATTACTGGGCATTTTGCTACACTAATTATGATTTGATCTTAGATGATTTAAAGTAGAATACGTTTACTGCCTACCTTTGGTTTCTTTTTCGGGAGAGAAAAAAACGAGAAAAGACTTAGCCAAAGAGATAATACTGTGCTTTGCTTTAAAGGGTTTTGGTGTGAAAGAAAGTGACTTGGGGCTATTCGACTGAATAAATGATCTGATAGAAACAGTGTGGTGGCAAAGAACAGCAATGGTTCCAGGAAAGGTTGGAAAGGTACACCAATCTGGTATTAGAGAAGTTAAGATTAACAGTAGTTTGATTTCCTCCCATTGGTGGGGCAAAAGTTTCCAGCTGCTCAGGAAAGTCCGCATTCTCCTTTCCTACACGAACGCACCATTCGCTCATACGTTCTCACGGTGGAATGTGGAGTGAATGGCGCTTTGGACCTGGTCCATCGCGCTTCCCTGGCCCTCCCCAGGTTCTCGCCTCTTGGCCGGCCAATAAAGATGACTCTGAGTGGAAGGCCCAAGTGAAGAAAGAGAGCCCCATCCGCTCGGGTTTCTGAATAGATGCACGGAGCAGAGCCACCCTGCTAACCCCAAACCACTCAGCTCTGTTAGATGAGAAGAAATTCAAAGTCTGCATGTTGCACATTAGTCATGACAGTTATCTAAAGAGTAACTGCTGGGGTGTGGTGGCGACAAAAGGCAGTGTTCTCTGTGTTGTGCCGGGAAGCAAGTCTCTTTAAAGCAGTGGTTCTCAACCTTCCTAACGCCGCGACCCTTTCATACAGTTCCTCATGTTGTGGTGACCCCCAACCATAAATTTATTTTCGTTGCTACTTCATAATTGTAATTTTGCTGCTGTTATGAATCGTAATGTAAATATCTGATATGCAGGATGTATTTTCATTGTTACAAATTGAACATAATGAAAGCATAGTGGTTAATCACAAAAACAATATGTAATTACATATGTGTTTTTTGAAAGGGTCGTTCGACCCCAAAGGGATCGCGACCCACAGGTTGAGAACCACTGCTTTAAGGGAAGCACCATGGGAGTGACAGTTCAAGGTGGACAAAGACTTGGCAAAGTCATTGGTGACACTGCAGCACCAGGGCCCAGTGTTGGTTCCGTGGGCCCAACCTGCTCGTGTGTCCCCCGCCACTGTCCACTGCAGCCAGCCCGTGTCTCCCTTCACCAACGCCCAGGACGGCCCGTCTGGATGGCACCACCCCAAGTCGCTGTCCCACCCCTTTCCCAAATCTATGCCTCCACCTGGGTCCAACTTGCCAGGGCCTCCAAGCAGACCCCCCTCTCACGGCTGGGGCCACCCAAGAAGCTCCCCTGAGAGCCACGCAGTGCACGGAGCCACCTCCCCTCCTGCCCAGGCCCCTCCAGCAGGCTTTCCCAGGGCGGCCCGGTGAGGGCACTGCTGACCGGTCCCGGGACCCTGTCCTCGCTCTGTGTGGAGGGGGGAGCCATGTTTCTCTGCAGTTTTGGATCTCATCTGCCCCGCCCCTGACCTTAATTTGTTATCAATTGAGTCACTTGTCTGTTGGCCATTTGTGGTGCCTCTCACGGAATCGGAACTGGACGAGGCAGGTCCCCGTCCAGCTGCCCCCGTGCGTCTTTATTCATCACACAGGGAAGGCAAAAGAGCCTTCCCCTCTTTTGCTGGGGGCCCAGAGAGAATGGGACCCTGGTGGGGTCCCTGGCGGGTGCCCTAAGAAGGACCAACACATTTGTGATCTTCCATGACCAATCATCAGACACACCCAGGTGGAGCCTTCGAGAATGCCAGGGCTGCCAACAAAAGCAAAAATAGACGAGTGGGACGACAGCAAACTACAGAGCTGCTGCACAGCAGAGAAGCCATCAAACAAAATGAAAAGACAGCCTACAGAGTGGAAAAAAGATTTGAATTATTTGTAAATCATATATTGGATAAGGGGCTAATATACAAAATATATAAAAAACCCATAAACCTCAAAAGCAAAAATACCCCCATGAACAATCTGATTACAAAATGGACAAAGCCCCTGAACAGGCATTTTTCAAGGAGGACATACAGCTGGCCAAGAGACAGATGAAGAGATGCTCGTCCTCATTAATCATCAGGGCAATGCAAGTCAAAACCACCGCCAGCCACCACCTCATGCTCTCAGCATGGCTGTTCTCAGCAAACAAACCAGTGGGTGCTGGCGAGGACGCGAGCACTGCTGGTGGGAATGTAAACCGGTGCAGCCACTGTGGAGATCAGGATAGAGTTACCGTAAAAAGTTAAACACAGAATTACCGTAGAATCCAGCAAGCCCACGCCTGGTATTTATCAGAAGAAACCCAAAACACTAACAGAAAAGGTAGGTGCACCCACGTCCATTGGAGCATTATTCAGTGACCAAGCTGTGGAAGCAACCGAAGTGCCCAGTGACAGATGGGAGGATAGAGAAGAGGCGTGCACATACACAGTGGAATGTCACTCAGCAATAAAGAAGAATAAAATCTTACCATTTTCGACAACCTGGATAGACCGTGAGGGCATTACACTAAGTGAAATAAGTCAGACAGAGAAAGACAAATACCATATAATCTCACGTATATGTGGAATGTAAAACAAAAAGCAAACAAAACAAAAATCGAGCTCATGGATACAGAGAACGGACAGGTGGTTGCCAGAAAGGGGGTGGGCAGGTGGAGGGGGGTCAAAATAGAAACTTCCAGCTATAAGAGGAATAGGTCCTGGGGATGCCGTGCATGGCATGGCAACTGTGTTTCATAACACTCCACAGTCAGCCCTTCCCATCCATGGATTCCTCCGCATCCATGAACTCAAGCAATCTCGGATCAGAATATTCAAAAGAACCAAAAATCCCAGAACATCCCAAAATGCAAAATTTGAATTTGCCACATGCTAATTTGTGTGGAGCACTGGCTGAATCCACGCAAAACAAGGCACGGGCGCACCCGCAGATGTTATATGCAAACACCACATCGTTTTATATAAGGGCCCTGGGCATCCTTGGGTTTCAGTACACAGACCCCCGGACCCCAGGGGCCGGCTGCAGTCATTTATTTAAATGTCTTCTTTTTTAAGAATTTTTAAAAAACAAAACAGCCTAGAATTAGCACATGAGACGTAAGAGATGCCACATAAAAATTTGAATGTCTGACCTCTCCTTAAATGTCAGAAAATCTGCAACACATGGTGCAAGGTCCCGTCTCTGGGGCCAAGTTGGGGCTGCCCCTGCCATGAGAGCGGGCACTGGCCCAGACACCCAACACTCAACAGTTTGCCCATCTCTGACGCCTGTTTCTGCCCCTGGAAATCTTGAGACTAGTTAGGAAAATATGATTGTGTGTGTATTAGGTGTGAGTCAGTTAGAGTCCTCCAGGTGGTGGCTGAGAGAAAAGCCGAGAACGCAAGAGAGGATGTTCAAGATTTAGGGACACAATGGGTGATCGCTTAGTAAATTATATAAATGCCTAATCGCTACGTTATACACCTGCAACTGATATAATATTGTGTGTCAACTATAATTTAAAAATAAAAATTATTTTAAAAAAAGATTTAGGGACAATCCTTTCGGTGGAGCAGGAATAGTGGTGTGACCCTAAGTGGCCAGGGGAGCGATGATGTCCCGGCAGGCAGGCATGGCTGCTGTGAGAACCGGCTAAAGACCACAAGTTTAAGTTCTGACCCAATTCCTGCCCGACACCACAGGGTTGACAGAAACCTGGATCTCAGAGCTTACACTATATTACTTTCTTGTTCGATCTCAGTACACACAAGTAGGTTCAGGATTGCTACCTCACGTCTTGGTGGGAAACACCTTTACTAACGAGACTGTAGTACATCTGTGCAATATAAGGGGCTTTTCCAGAATACCCGGACGTCCTGGAGCCCATCCCCGTGGACACTGAGGCATCCCACTGCACGTTTGAAAGCAGCTAAGAGAGTGGAGTCAAAGGTTTTCATGATAAGAAGAAAGACTTCTGTAACGATGTTTGGTGGGGGCTGTTAAGCAGGCTCATGACTTCGCAATGTGGACAAATACGGAATCATGACATTATGCACCTGGAAGTAATGCAACACTGCGCCCATTATACCGTCATAAAATATTCCTAGTCCTAAGGCTTCCCATGTGTAAAATAAAATGGAGGTTTGGATTTTAAAAGAAAAAGAACTCCAGGGCCTGCAGAGACAGAGGGAGCTGAGGACCGTGAATGCCAAACAAGCAGTCAGTGCTGGACTTGGGGACATCTGAACTCGGGACTCGCGAAGCTACCATGCCGGGAGGAGGGGAGGTCTGCGGGGCAATCCGAATGACCAACCTCCATGGCCCAGCCCACATCTCGGTGACATGCACAGATGGGACGTGGGCCCAGATGGACACGCTGAGACCTGACCCGGCACCTCAGTGTGGCCGCACTTGGAACAGGTGGTGCACATGTCATTGTTCACCATGAGGTCCAGAGGTGGCCCTCATTCCACAAGACCCTGACCTTGCAAGAAGAGGGACATCTGGACAGACGCAGACAGGAGAGACCATGTGAAGACAGAGGCAGAGATGGGGTGACGTCCGAGCCAGGGGACGAGAAGGATTGGCAGCCACCACCAGGAGCGGGAGAGGCCGGGCCTCTCGGCCCTCCGCCGGCCAACACCTGGCTGCCGGCTTCCAGCCTCTGAGTTGTGGGACCAGGAACTTCTGTTGAGAAGCTGCCTGGTCTGTGGCGTTGGTCCCGGCCGCTGATACGCACGCGAATGTGCCAATGTTATCAACTGGCAACTCTGGGTGCAGGGTGCTCACAGCTGTTTTCTGTAACTATTCTCTATGTTTTAAATATCTTTCAGAACTGTAACTTGAAAAAAATAAATACAATAATCTGACTTAATGACCTGTGCCACGGTCTGTGCCAGACGGTGTTTATAAGTGATCTGATTTAATTCTCATGGCCCTCAGAGGGCAGGCTCTGTTGTCCCCAAATTGCAGGTTAACACCATGGCTCTGAGGTTATGTGACTCGCCCGGAGGTGAGGAAGCTGTGACGAGGGCTCTTGTTTGACTCCAGGCTGTCGTTTACTCTCATTTTCTCTCCTTCACTAGCACGGGGGTGGGTGGGGGCGGCCTACTGCTGGGTTTGGGATAGTTGGTAAAATGCGAGAAAAACAGAAAAACGTGTACCTCAGGAGGGGACTTCCATGGGAAGGACTTAAGCAATAAATCTGGTGAATGAATTAGGAAGGAAGAGATGACATGGGAGAGAAAGTCCCCGTGGCCTGGAGCGCCCGAGTCTGGGTCAGAGCAGGAGGACACCGCAGGCGTGTGACAGGGCAGTGCTGTGCTCTGTGCCGAGCCGGGGCCACACATGGGGAAACTGAGGCTCTCTGCGTTTGAACATCTCGCCCAGGCTGACACATCTGAAGCTGGAGGTTCTGTCTGCGGAGTCTTATGCTCACCTTTCCCTGCTTTGGGAAGGGGTCCTGGTGAGGACCGGGCCATGGGAGGTCCCAGCCCCCTTGATGCCCTAGCCCAGTGATGGCCAACCTTTTGAGCTCGGCGTGTCAGCATTTTGAAAAACCCTAACTTAACTCTGGTGCCGTGTCACATATAGAAATTTTTTGATCTTTGCAACCATAGTAAAACAAAGACTTATGTTTTTGACATTTATTTTATATATTTAAATGCCATTTAACAAAGAAAAATCAACCAAAAAAATGAGTTCGCGTGTCACCTCTGACACGCGTGTCATAGGTTCGCCATCACTGCCCTAGGTCCTCCTCCCAGGTGGCGCACACCCTTTCTGCCCCCATGCCTGGGCTCCCCCCAAGGCCCTCCACCAGGCGCCTTTCGGCCACAGGCCCTGGGACCACTTTGAGTGTCTTCACTGACCCTGAGGTCTTCCTGGAGAGCAAGGCCCTGCCCAGGAAAAGGCCTGACCCCATCACCATCAAGCAGACCCTGGAGGGCCAGAGTGACCGAGAGCCCTTGGACCCAGGACTCTAAGGTCCAGAAACACCCACCTCGTCCTGGTCCTCCCAGAGCCCCTCGGTCCCCATCCCAGCGAGGTCCAGAGGAAAGGCCCTGGGCCGGACCTGGGGGTCCACCTTCCCCGGTCCCCACCTGTGCAGTGCTGGCAGAGGATGGCGGCAGCCAGGAGGAGGCCGCTCCCCGACCATGGGCCTGCAGGGCCTGTCCAGTGGACGGCTCATACTGGGGCCCCCTCACCAGAACCTGCCATGGACGCTGAGGGTCATGCCCAGGCTCTACACCTGGGAATCTCCTCCAGAGGCCTCAGGCGGCGCGCCCCAGGCCCTGAGTGCGGTTGGGGGAACGATCTTTACTTGCACAGTTACTTTGGATATAGTGAGAGAAGTCTCTGGGCCACCCAGCCTGTCACCTCAAGAGCCAGTCAGCCCCGCGAGGCTGGTCCATCCCAGGAAAACCCAAGTTGGGCAGCTGGGCGTAGGTTTGGGCTCTGGCCAGCCCGGCCTGGTCATTCTACAGCAAGGGGCACAGGCTCGCCATCCCATGGCCACAGAGGAAGACCTAGGATACTCCTGCCCGCTCAGGGGTCTCACCACCAGGTATGCCCAGAGAGGGCACTTCCCTCGCCCAAAGCCACACAGCACTCCGCCACACAGTCTCCTCACCACCTGCCAGAGACAGCGCCAGAGGCTGTTCCCACTCCGACCCGGACCCCGCCAACCAGCTGTGATCCACATACCTAGGAGCCAGCCTGGCCGCCAGCCCAGCTGCAGCACCGCCCAGAGGAGCGGCCAGGGCACCCCCGGGGTCCCCATGCCCCCAGCGCCTGCCGACCACAACGTCCTCTCCTCTGCTCTGTCAGAAGTGCGTGAAGAAAGGAAACTGTTTCCCTGGGCTTGAAGGTACACGCCCCGCCCCTTCTTCCTCCTCCTCCACATGGGTAGGAGGAGGGTTAGGGGGTGGAGAGAGAGAGAGAGAGAGATGGGGGATGTGAGAGAGTAGAGGACAGGGGAAGGAGGTGACAGGGAGAAAGAAATACAGAGAGACAGAGACGCGGAGAGAGATGGAGAGGAAGAAGGAGAGGGAGACAAACAGGTGGGGGGCGGGGGTGTCTGGGTACCTCTCCCCATCAGGGATCTCTATTGAGGGCAGATTTTGTTTCTTTATCTGGGGTTGCCTCTTTCTC